CCCTCCCCCCGTGTTCTCCTCGCTCACGTGGACCCCAGTATCCCGCACCGGGTGCTCAGGAAAAGCCCGCGGCCTTTAAAGTCCGGTGCTGAGGAAGGCATCGCTCCCTCTTGGGCGTCTTATTGCAATAGACACAGAAGATCTTCTGTTGTGTGAGGGCAGGAGGACACCTGTCTGGACCCCGCTCGGTCCACTGGCACCAGCCGCACCGCGGGGGCTGGCCGCCCATCAGACCAGCTGTTCCGAGAAGCACTGCTGTCCCGTCCTGAGGACGCAGCACTGGCCCTGGCGGGACAGGAGTAGAGAGCACGGCAGGTCATGCGTTGGGCGCCTGCAGTGTCGGTGGGTGACCCACGCTGTGCGCTGGACGGTCCAGTTTCCCCACTGCTTTGAGTTGTGCCCAGCACCCCTGGCAGGTGGGCGGGGTGGACAGGGTGCGGACGGATCCAACAGCCCCACAGCCCACGCTGGGTCACCCGCAGGACCTCCAGCACGTGTTTCAGGGCTGGCCTTGGTGGAACAGTGACGGGGGCTGTTTTTCAACACTCTGACTCCAACGTCACCTTGCCACAGGGGCCACGCTGCTTCCAGCTGGGGTCTCAGCCCGCGCCTGCCCGGGGCGAGGTGTGTGTGAGGGAGCCCGAGGTCAGGGGCTGCCACCCGCACGAGCCCGAGCCTCCTGGACCTTCACTAACGACGCACAGCGTCCCGGAGGCTGCCATGAACAAGACCCGGGCGCCCTGTGCGGGGTGTGCAGAGTGGCCAGGGGACAGGGGTGGAGCCTGCGGAGGGCGCTCTGGGGCCTGGGCACACCTGTGCCATCTCACGGCGGGTCCGCTCTGCCATCCTCTGCGCCCGGGGCCCCTTCCCAGACGAAGTTTGCCCCCCTGCATGGCTCCGCCACTTCCAGCTGAGGGGCCTTGGGCCTTGACGTACCCCTCGGGCCTCGGTGTCCTCATCTGTATAGTGGGCATAATAAACAGAGTGCCGACTCCCGAGGCTTGTGTGGGGCTGGACTTAGGACGATGACCAACGCGCGGGAAGAACGCCGTGTGCGCACCTGTGACATCGGTCATTTCTGATTTACACCCGTCTCCCAAAGCGGGCGGCACCTCCCTGCTGTCCCCTGGGGGTACACGTCTCCTGAGGAAAACCCGGACGTTCGGAAATTCGTGTGATGGAGAAAGAGCCCAGAGGGGCAGGAGAGACGGACGGCCAAGTGAGGGCTTCTGGGGATGTCCGCCGTCAGAGCCCAGCGCCAACCAGAGTGCTCAGTGACCGCCGAGGGACACGGGTCCCTCCAGGGGACACAAACGGCTGGGCCCTCCGGTCGCTCCTATTGCTGTTCCCTCTCCTTCCCTGTCCTTCCCTTCTGAGGCCAGGCCTTGTGAGGTTGTAAATCCGCCCTTGGCTGTGCGGGTTCCCGAGAGGGGCGCGTCTCTGGCTCCCTGCGCTCCTGCCCACGGGACCGGGCTGCTCCGGAGCTCGGCCAGCGCTCCGTGCCGTGAGCTGACCTCGTTAAGCCCTCGGCTCCCTCCCCCCGGGGACGCAGCACAGAGCTCCCTGTCCTCATTTAGTTTTAAAGAGCGTCTAGTACTTGTGAAAGGGCTGGTCTCAGACCACCAGCTCGGAGCAGACCCTGCGCCCTCCCTCGGGCTGCTCCTCTCCAAGTCCGTTTGCTGGCGGAGCTGGATTTGCACCAAGGGCTCTGAGCTGCACGGCTCAGGAGCTCATTACTCCGCCCCGAGACCACAGGCGCTCTCCGCGCTGTTCCTGTGGTTTCCTGCGCCAGCCACGCCTGCCCTCATGGGTAGGTCGCCTGCAGCGGGGGAGCTCGCTCTGCTGGAAGGGATTCGGGATGCTTTAAATCCAGGTCTGAGGAGCAGCCTTGAGGGGAGCCTTCTGTCTGAGCGAGATAGGCTGGGACGGTTCTGGTTGCATGGCTTCCAACGTTGGCCCCATTTCCAGCCCCTTTCTGCACCAACCTCCTAGAATCTAGACTCTTGCCTGCTGCACACCCTTGGGAGCTCTTCAGACAATCCTTATCTGCAGAAACCTGTCATGAAATAATAGGCCTGCTTTCTGGGCTAGCGGAGTGTCCGTGGCGTTGAGGGTTTGCCATGTGCAGAGTGAGGTGGCGCTGTGTCCGCGCCCTTGGCACCGGGCGGGCGGCCTGGGGAGGCTTCCTGTCCAGAGGCCGCTGGACCACGGACGAGGACGTGCCCTCTCGGGGCCTCCTCCGGTGTTGGAATCACGGAGCAGCTCCTCCAGGGACACTTGCGTCTGGTTTAAGAGGATTTCTTGCATATAAAGGACAAGACGGAATTATTTTTATTTGGGTTTATTCAAGTAAATATTGATTGGATTTACAGGGGCTGAGGAGTGAGTGGAAATGTTGGTCGATTCAGAGAGAAAGTGAGTTTTCTGCAGGCCGTCCTCAGATCCCAGCCTCTAATCAAATTGTGAATGAGCAGTTGGGCCTTTCTGTCCTTAGATTATAAAATATTATCTTCATTCGACCGAGAAGCTCTCTCAGGGGGGCATCTAATTCGTCTGTAGGGTGTTTGCATTTAGCTCAGAATAGTAAAGCCTGCATACATAGTTATATTCAGAAATATTACCAAACTATTATCACTTCCAGCCAAAAGTGGAAAACATTGTTTTTGACTCTTTGCCCAAACGCATGATAAAAATAAACGGATGACTAAGAAGCTTCAGCTGAAGAAATCTGGATTGGTAACGGATGGCACAAAGGAGAAGCTGGCGAGAGTCAGAGCCTGGGAGGCCACACAGGGAGGCCTGTGTCCCATCCCGAGCTCCGCAGGCCGAAGCCGTTGTGTCACAGGGAGACGCGGAGACAATGTATCATTTCACCAAGTGGTAACAGCAGCGGCCGGGAAGAAACCGGAGGCTCAGCAGCACCTAACATGCTGTGCACACAGGCCGAGCAGGGTCTTGGCACCCACGGGCTAAGCTAAGTTTGCAAACGCAGGTCCGGTGCTCACGTTCCACGCAGCCCGGGAGCCGGGGTGTGTCTCCTCCCTGCTGTGTTTATGGGAGAAGAGAGGGCGCCTCTGGACGGGGCGCTGTGTCCTGAGTGTGGGTCGCGTTTGAGGACCGGTCACCAGAACAGGACTCCGGCGGTGTCCGGGAGGCTGGCTGGTGGCAGCAGGTCCCAGCACCTTCTGTCTGTCTGGATCTTCTCTGCGAAGTGCCCGTGTGTGTCCTGTTCGGGTGCTGGTACACGTGCTCACAATGTCTTCACGGGGCCATCGTTGGTGTGCACGTTGGCCTGAGTCTCAACGCCACATTCAAGAGCGGAGAACAAACGATGACTTTCAGGGTCTGTTCCGTGAGACCCAGCGTTGGACTCTGCTCATTCTAAAGGCGCCCTGGGTGGGATGTCCTGAACGGATTCGGCAGATATGCTCCAAAGTGATTTTGAACAGATTTAAAAAACAATGTCTTAGACTGGCTGGTGTGGTTCAGTGGTCAGAGCATCAGCCCGTTCCCCAAAGCGTCTCGGTCTCGACTCCCAGTCAAGGGCATGCCCCTGGGTTGTAGGTTGGATCCCCAGCCCCCGTCGGGGTCACGCAGGAGGCAACCAGTCGACGTGTCTCTCTTGCAGAGATGTTTCTCTCCCCAGCCCCTCCACTCTCTCTAAAAATCAGTGGAAAAGCATCCTCGGGTGATGAACAAAACCACCCACGTCTCTGAGTGTGCGAGATGCTTCTGAGGGACCGCGTCAGTGTCCACAGCTGACTCAGCCCAGTGGGGACAACGAACACCTCACATCTGAACCACCCGTCTTACATTCTGTAAATACTAGACTTTCGTTGTAAATCACTGTCAGCCCGAGTGGGTTTCCTGTTCTGCTCCGTGAGAACATGGGTCCTCGGTTTTCTTTTGTGTAAATTAGAATCCAGCTGAAACTGGTGTTTTTTTAGAAATACAGTGATACCTCGGTTCTCGAACATAATTCGTTCCAGGAGGACGGTCGAGAACCAAATTGTTCGAGAACCAAAGCAATGAAACCCAATAGGAAATAATGGAAACTGGATTAATTCGTTCCAAGCCCCAGAAAATGCCTATTTACTGGCCTAATTTGTATATAATATGTAGAAAAACATAAGTCTCAACAAGAAATAAAAGTGTACAGTATGTCTAAGGGTTAAATTCAGTGTAAAGCGTGACTCTCTCCACAAAGCGTGACTCTCTCTCTGCACTCACACTGATGACGCGAGCAAGGCGCGCTGGGCCGAATGAACGCCATTCGGCTCAACTCGGCTCATCTCGGAAGTTCGAGTTCCAAATATTTGTTCGGATTCCAAGACAAAAGTTTCTCGAATCTCCTGGTCGAATACCGATTTGGTCGAAATCCGAGGCGTTCGAGAACCGAGGTATCACTGTATGTTTTTATTGATTTTTTAAGAGAGAGAGGAAGGGAGAGAGAGATGGAAACATCGATGTGAGAGAGAGCATCGATCGGCTGCCTCCTGCATGCCCCCCACTGGGGATCAAGCCTGCAACCCGGACATGTGCCCTGACTGGGAATCGAACCAGGACCTCTCAGTCCAGGGGACGACGCTCCATCCACTGAGCCACACCAGCCGGAGAAAGCAGGGTTTTTACTTATTTTTAGTTGCATAACTTTTTATTTAAAATTTTTTTAAAAAATTTATTTTACCACCCCCACATGGGGATGTACAGTTAAGGCTATTAATGACATTCTGCAGACGGAGTCACTGTCCTGTCCTGTACGTCAGAGAGTCTTACATTCACGTCCGACAAGTTGGCACACAGGTAGCGACTGTGCTCCCTGGTCTGGGACCAGGGTCTCCGGGCACCGCGCTGGCCAGGCACTGGGGAACGGTGTACTTTAACCAGACAGTGGCAAAGCTTTGTGGGCATTTCGTCACCGTGGAACAGAATGCCTTCATAGCAATTATTGATGACCATTTGAGAGCCAAAATAATTTCTTCCTTATTTTCCCCTCTTAGGTTCCGTAAACGAAAAGTTACCTCAGCGGGAAGGCACAGGAAAAACAGGTAACTATCTTACCATCGTTTTCCACCGTGAGACCGTGCGTCTGAGCCAACCTGTGCCTTAAAATAAGTGCTCCAGTTGAGATCTAAACGTGTGCTCGTGACGATAGAGAGAGGCGGAGCAGATGGCCAACTATTTCTCTGTTCAACAAAGTTGTATTCAACCTGCAGGGGGTGGGTGACGTGTTGGTGCTGGGCATAGAGCCTGCCCACTGTGCCCACGTCGGGGCTTCTCAGACCCGGCTTGTGTCGTGACCACCTATAGATGTTGTTGGGTGTCCCCTGCCCCCCCGAGTCCAACCCCATGGAGAGGACTCAAGTTTAGTATTCTGGGTGTCACACCTGTGATTGTTGAGGGCCACTGGGGGACTGTCAACCATTCCCCGGGAGGAAGAGGGGTCTGTTTCCACCCGTGACAGTCCCATGCTCTGGGACGGGTCCCGACAAGAACCAGGACGGTGAGCCCCTCCCTTTCGAAGTCACCCGTCACCTCCCGTGGGCTCCCAGCTCCCATCCACCTGTAAGCTCAGGAGTCACTTTCAAGATGAACTAAACACAGCGTTTTAGCACCCAAATCTCGGGCACCGTTTTTTCTGATGTAGCTTATGGTACGTGACGCAGTGATAACAAGAAGTGATAGAAAAGCAACCCAGTTCCCTTCAGCGTGTGTTGAGACTCTGGTGGGCACTGCCCCTGCCCTGGCAGGATCCTGGCCTCTGTGTGTTATTAAGATAAATACACGGATTGACGCCTGAGTGAATGCCAACCGTGCGAGGGCGAGGAGGGGGCTGCTCCCTAGGAGGAGGCGCCTGTGATGGTGGCGGGGGTGGAGCTGAGCAGGATCCCGCGGAGCAGAAGAACCTTGCGGTTGGGGCCACTGCCCCTTGTCCAGGGCAGCGGCGGGCGGGCGGGCTGGGGGCGGTCAGTGTCTGAAAGGAGGGAGGTCAAGCTGAGCTCACGCTGGGCTGAGGGCTTGGATTTGAGGCTGTAGATCTGGGTGGGACACAGTCACACGTGTTTGAGAAGAGGGAGGGACAACGTTCATGTCAGAAGAGTTGATCGAGTGGCGGCAGGGAGGAGGCGGAGGAAATGCTCGCTCAGAGGGTGGTCCCGTCTCGTCCCCTGCGCTGCACGCTGCGTCCTGTGCACAGAGGAACCCGGGGGCGTCGGTGCGGGGCGCAGGGCGCAGGGACGGATTCAAGGAAGGAGCCCTGTCTGTCATGAAGCCCCTTGATCTACAGACATGGCGAAGGAATACCTGAAATTAAGCAACAGAGCTGGCTTGCAGATAAAAATGAGATGTTTAGCACACGCTATTAGAAAACATATGAAAAGTACACAGCTGTCCATGGCTTTGCTTCTTTAGATTTTTAAAAAATTATGTTTTTATTGATTTTTTAGAGAGAGCAAAAAGGGGAGAGAGAGAGAAACATCAGTGAGAGAGAGCAACATCGATTGACCGGCTGCCTCCTGCACGCCCCCTACTGGGGATCGAGCCCACAACGCGGGCATGTGCCCTGACTGGGAATCGAACTGGGACCTCTCAGTCCACGGGGTGATGCTCAGTCCACTGAGCCACACTGGCCAGACGCCTCCACCCCTTTTGTTTCATGTCCTCAAGGCACAGTTCTGGGGGTGCCCGAGGGCCTGTTACACTGGTCAGGATGTCTGAGGGACCAGAGCGAGGACGTGGCCGAGGAGCGTCATGCTGGTGGCAGGGGGGCCCCAGGAGGGGAGTGGGAGGACCTCTGGTGCTGGTGAGAGGGTGGGGGAGGGGGCAGGCCCAGGGGCACCAGGAGGCCTCGTCCGCTTGGCGAGGGGGCGCCCCTCCCTGAGCAGGGACAGCTCAGCTCACACTGAACCAGTGACTCCGGGACAGGCTGGTGGCCCGAGTGGTGACCTGCTCAGGCCTCAGCAGCGCACACAGCTCTGACGGCACGTACGCTCTCACCCCAGACGGCCTGGAAACGTGTGCAGGCTCTTCCTCAGGCTGCGCTTTCAAGGGTTTTAAACATGTTTTAAGTATGTTCCCCATTTCGTTTTCTTGGAGGAAGATTGCAGACACCTCAGTAGCAAAATACTCAGTTTATGGTTACTCTCGATATTAGGCTTGGACGTTTCAAATCAATGATGTTCCATTTGGTTAGTTGTTGTTGTTTTGTTTTTTTTTTAACAAAAAGCAAACTTTTCCAAGAGATTCTTCAACGCTCAAGATTTTTTTTAAAGCTCCTTTTTGGTTTTCCCCCCAAAAGACCTCAGGAGAAACCTTGTTTCCTCCCTGGCCGGCAGGGCAAGTCCGAGAGGACACTTAGCTGGGGAAGCGTGTGGCCCTCATCCCCACTGTGGGCTGAGTTTGGTCACGACGTTGTCATACGGCAAAGCCACCCGCGTGAGCGGGAGAGGACCACGCTGGGCTGGTCCCTGGAGATCGCAAAGGGGCTGCGGCGGCTTCCCGGGCCCACGTGGTGGGCAGGACGTGGGCGCTCAGGCGCCTCCCGCTGTGCCTCAGTCTCTCTAGACCTTACGCCAGACCAGGGGAACCCAGAGAGTGTTTCAACCAATTAAGTGAAGATTATTCATTTGGAATATGTGTCGTCAGTGAAATGACCCAGAGCCCCAGTCCCCTCCCTCGTCCCCTGCTCAACAGCACTCCTGTCCCCACCCACACCCGAGCCCCTGGTGCCCGTCACTCTGCTGCAGAGGGGACGAGGGGCCCAGGTGTGCGGAGACCCAGCCACCAGCTCCCGCCAGACCCCTCACAACACATGGCTCAGGGCCGGGTCCCCATCCAGGCCCCGTCCCCCTCGCCTCCCCGTCCGGCCCTCGGTGGGCTCAGGGCTCAGGGCTCAGGGCTCAGACTCGCGTTCAGCCTCGAGGACGGTGCTGGGGGCCGCGGCTCCCGGGGAAGGAGGGCCCCGCCCCCCGCGTGGCTCTGCGTGTCCTGGGTGGTGGGCTGGTTAGTCTGTGGGCTGTTTGCTGACCTGGAGCCTCACCCGCACGCACACTTACTGAGCTTACTCTCGTGATTGTAGTCTTCTTGCAAATGTTTTCCGTTCTGAATTCAGATGATGCTTCTGCCCCTGCACTGGACACTCAGCCTCAAGGAGACGAAGAAGGTGAGCCCCAGGGACTGGGGTGGGGGGGGCTCCTGCGCACCTGCAGGCTGAGTGGGCCGGCCTGGCCGCCCAACCCTGTGAGCACCGCTGTCCCCGTGTCGGGGAGCGGCCGAGCGTGAGGCCTCATCCAGATCTGTGCGCTCACGTTCTGTCTCTCGGACGGTGTCGCCTCGATGTGTCACAAGAGCGAGGGGCCGGCCCTGATCAGGCCACAACCTGTCGCACGGTGTTCGCCGAGACGGTGCCCGAGATGCGCTTTGTGACGTCACGGCAGGGGTGTCTCGGGTCCGCCGAGTCTGTGGTCGTGACGAGGTGGATTTCCTCCTCCCAGCCTTGTCTCAGGTGTTGGTCAAAGGTGTCCGGGTCCGAAGACAAATACAAGAAATACACATAATGAGTAAATCTGAGATTGAAAAGTAGATGTACACTGTGCTTTGCAAACAACAATAATAATGATAATGATGATGATGATGATAATAATAATGATAGTGCTACACATGTGTCCTGCCGCATGCTCCCGGAACTCTCATGATCCCATTTCACAGGAGAGGACATTGAGGGAACTGGCCCGAGGTCATAAGGTCCATACGTGGCAAAGGCGGGCTGGACCTGGCCAGTCGGCTCCGCGAGGTTCTCAGGCCTCGAGGGGACGGCCCCACAGCCAGTATTCCAGCATCCTTGGTAAACAGTTTCACCAAAAAGATGTGTTCCTGAAACGCTTTGTGCAAAATTTATCTCACATGCCGCACTTTGCACTGAATCTTTCACCTGCGTGGAAACTCCGGTGTCGCGTGAAGATCCATCGCGACCCTGCAGGGATGTTTTCGGACACTGGGGCTTTAGGCTCACACCTGTTTCTATCCCATAGGGCCCGTCTGGACTCAGAGAACTTTTATTTACACTTCCGGATGAAGAAAGAAAGAAAAAATATGCTAAACATTTCTAAATGTCTATTATTATTTCTTATTGTCTCATGCGCACAATTATTCTGTTTTTTAAAATGGACACTATATAGACGTTGATTTTCTTTTCTTTTTTTTTTTTGGCTTTTAGACTACCTGCTGAAATCTTTGAGGGACTTTGTATTTTCATGATGAAATAAAAATAATCGTTTTATTCTGCTCCGTTAGATATCGCGTCGCGTTACCCTACGCTTTGGACAGAGCAAGTTAAAAGTCGACAGAACAAAACCAGCAAGAACGCAGGTAAAAAGGGCCTCGTGTCCGGGTTTTGTCCTCCTGAAGCTAAGTACTATTGCATTTTCCCCTTGGTTACCAGTGAGCCAGGCGAATAATCCGTGTGAGTCGGCCGCCCAAACAGTTCAAATTCTGGTATTTTTATTACGTTTTCTAGAGTCTTTGAAAGGCTGCGGTATATAAGCCAAGCAGAGTGTGGTGTTAGATACAAATGAAAATACTTGATAATAAGTTGTTTCTGACCTGATTTCAGAGACATCAAGACATTTGACTGAATTCAAAACCCTCGCGACCGGGTGATGGTTTCACTGCACAACAGTGTTTGACAGATTTCACCACCCAGCGCCAGGGGTGGGCGTCAGAGATGGGTGGTGGGTGGGTCTGTGAGCGTCGGGGGCTGCCCCCGCCACCTCGGCCTGCCCGCCCAGGTCCCCTCGGTTCCAACCAAAAGCAGCGGTCACCCCGGGTCTGGATCGTCCCCTCCTGGGGCCTGTTGGCCCCATGCAGAGGAACTGTAGATGCCCCAAAGGCAGCCTTCACATTGGGACCATGTGACGGTGGTCACCTGCTCCTCCGAGTGTGTTTTTATTTTATTTTATTTTTTTTATTTTTTTTTTTTTTTATCCTCACCCGAGGACATTTTTCCATTTTTTGTTCAGACACAGCGGGAGGGAGAGAGAGGAAGAGAGAGAGAGAGAGAAACATCGATGTGAAGGGACACATCGAGTGGCTGCCACCCGCACGACCAACCAGGGCCGGGGACAAACTGCAACCGAGGTATATGCCCTTAGCGGGAACCGAACCCGGGTCTCTCTGTACCGCAGGCCGACACTCCAACCGCTGAGCCAAACCGGCCAGGGCCGAGTGTGTTTTTAACACCCGTGTGCGTGAGTCGTTCAAAAGTCTTATCAAAGCTTGAGATGCAAAGGGTTTGACACCCCCGTTTGCCCCTTCTGAGCCCACCCCGAGGGGTGGTGCCTGAGTCCGGCTATTTCAGCAGCCGCCTCAGAGCCCAGGACAGAGTCCACAGGGAGGGAGGGACGGACTGACAGCCGCAGGCGATGTGGAAAGGACCTCTGATGGCAGGAGGAGGGGTGGGGGACAGGCCAAGCCACCTTGCGTGGCTTCTGCCCGGTGACTCCGCTGCCCGACGGCATCCTGCCCACTCGCCTTCAGCCTGCCCGACGGTCCTTGGCGCCGCGCCTGCGGCCACGCTGACAAAGCAGGCAAACCCTTGACCCGCAGATCCGTGCGTACAGCTGGCAGAGACGTTTAAACCTATTTATGGGAGGTGTAACTTTTCTCACGAATTACTGCGATGGATACAGTTCACTGTTGCCAAAGATTTGCCGTTGGGAACTGAGCTGTTCTGGTTCCGCCACCAGCGTGTGTGCCGAAGCCGCCCCCTTGGAGGTGTTCGTGCGCCCTGTTGATCGGCACCTGGGAAACTGATTAAAACCTGCGTGTTTCAGATTTACTGGTGGGTCTGGACTACTTCCCAAGGGAGAATCGTGTGGCCGCATCTAAATTAATTTGAGAAACAGATGTAATATTACCATGAGCCAGGCTGCTAGACATGTGTGTCCTCATTTTTATTTTATTATTTTATTTTATTTTAATCCTCACCCAAGGACATTTTTGCATTTATCTTCAGATAGAGTGAGAGGGAGGGAGAGAAACATCGATGTGAGAGAGACACATCGAGTGGCTGCCACCCACGCCCCAACCGGGACCGGGGACAAACTGCAAGCGAAGCACGTGCCCTTAGTGGGAACCGAACCCGGGGCTGTCTGGTCTGAGGGCCGACGCTCTAACCACAGAGCAGAGTGGCCAGGGCGGGACACGTGGGTCTGTAAAAGGCAGGTCTCGCCGGCAGGAGACCCCAGAGATTCCACGCACCCTCGTGAAGTAAGCGCGCTGTTCATGTCTCAGCGTCGCGTGCCTGGTGCTTCAGGTCCCAAGGGGCCTGTCGGGCGGAGCTGACCGGCAGGGACAGTCGGGCTTGCAGTGTTTACCGGGACTGAAATTGTGCTCCGTGTGCTGTGCCGGGGACCCCATTCACCCAGGTTGTCCTGCACAATAACTGGATTCAATCAGCCCGGGTGAGCAGCACATGGAAGACGCCCTGAGCTGACCTGCAGACATGGCATCGAGTGACCTGATCCTGTCTGCTTCCTGCCGGTTGTCCCAGTACCGGTTCCTCCTGAGGGTCCAGAAAGAGGCAGACCTGGCTGGCGCCGGAGGACATTCGAAATAGCATTGATTAGGTTGACGACGAAACGGGAAACAGTCATGGGGTGTATGCAATGACCCCGGTGTCATTGAGATGTGAAATGTCGCCCTGGCTGGTTGGCTCAGCGGTTAGAGCGTCAGCCCGCGGTCTGGAGAGACCTGGGTTCGGTTCCCGCTAAGGGCAGGGACCTCGGTTGCAGTTTGTCCCCGGCCCCGGTTGGGGTCATGTGGGTGGCAGCCACTCGATGTGTCTCTCTCACATCGATGTTTCTTCACGCTGTCTGTTCCTCCCTCTCTCCCTCTCGCTCTATGAATGCAAAAAGTGTCCTCAGATGAGGATTAAAAAAAAAAAAAAAAAGATGTCAAATGTCAGGAGAGATTTCTTTGTATTTAATTTTAATTTTAAAAGGTGCCTTTACTGATCATCTTCTTCGGTAGAGATAGGTCCATTCACTTAATGAAACAAATAATCTGACTTGTTTATCCTGTAGTTTTAAAGTACTGTGCCTTGTGTGTCGGTGAGTTGCCCCTGAGTCCAGAGGGGATGTCTCCAGGCCCGAGATCCAGGCACGTCCCTCTGGGAGAGACATCGGCCTCCCGCGTCCGCGGTCGCCCGGCCCAGGGTCAGATGCATTTCCGTCTGCGGGTGGTGGAAGCCTCGGATGGAGGTGCCCGGGCTGAGCGTGCCCCGTACCCTTCATGTTCTCTGACCGGAGGGGCCGGCAGGGACCGCTCCTCTCTGCTGTTTCTTCACCTCCGTTGCGAGGACTGTTTTCCTCCACGAGTTTATGCTGAAGTAGGTAATGTTACTTACTTTACCAGAGACAGACTGCGACCGCCGTGCAGGGTGCGGACACCTGTGTGGGTGCGGTCACAGTTCGGGGCGTTTCGTGGAGCAGGTCTTAGAAGGGACTCTTCTCACCAAGGGAAGGGAAGTCCTCCCGGTCTGTGAACATCTACATAGTCGGCACTCCAGTCACACATGTGTGCTCATGGAACTAGCGAAGAGGTTTCCATGAGAGGTGGCACGAGCACTTTAGGGTACTGTTGCTTTTTTAGTTTCTTTCCTTGTTTTTCTTTTTTAATCCTCGCCTGAGGATATTTTTCCATTTATCTTCAGATAGAGTGAGAAGGAGGGAGAGAGAGAGAAACATCGACGTGAGAGAGACACATCGGCGGGCTGCCTCCCGCACGACCCCGACCAGAGCCGGGGATGAACCGCAGCCGAGGCCCATGCCCTTGACCGGAATCGAACCCGAGATTCTTTGGTCCTCGGGCCGTTGCTCTAACTGCTGAGCCAGACCTGCCAGGACCGTGTGTCTCTTTTTCAAACCAATGTTCTTTTCCTCGGGTGCATTAAACCCCAGATTTCTGCCTCATTTCCTTCAGAGCCTTCTGGAGCAGCGGTTCTCAACCTGTGGGTCGCGACCCCTTTGGGGGGTCGAACGACCCTTTCACAGGGTCGCCTAAGACCATCAGAAAACACGTATTTCCGATGGTCTTAGGAACTGAGACACCGCCCCTCTGTCCGTCTCCAGGCGGCCCGCCCACCTGCAGACGCCCTCAGACAGCACCAGGACCCACGTCACAGGGTCACAGGGTCACAGGGTCGGGCATGAGGAAGGGTGGGAAGCACCATCTAGAGCATCAGCGGAGAGAGTGCACCTGTCTGCTGGTTGAACAAGCCACTGACGCGGCACCAAGCCACAGGGTCTCTGCAGGGGCCCCGCCGACCAGCGTGCAGGGCGCTGGGAGCAGGAGAAAGAGCAGACCTGGGGGCGGGACACTCCGAATGGACCCGGGGGACGTCCCGCAGGGCAGGGCGGCGCTGAGGCACGTGGGACCCCTCGTGGCTGGTCCCTGTGCTGCTGCTCCCCACGGCACGTGGCCTCCCCACGGCACGTGACCTCCCCACGGCACGTGGCCTCCCCACGGCACCGTGACCTCCCCACGGCACGTGGCCTCCCCACGGCACCGTGACCGTGGCCAGGAGAGCTCGAAGAGAGTGGAAGTAGCGTTGACGGAACGCTAGCCTCGCAGAATTTCGGTAGAAAGACTATTGGGTGGGAGGCGTTCACTGAAAAACACTCCTTCAACTGTGCCCTTAAACAAGCACGTCTGTGCATATGTTTTCCAGGCTTCGTTATGTTTTATTGAGAAAAGGAGGCACAGGTTGCTGTCGTTCTGTTTCAGGTGCCGTGATGTTTATGGAAAGTAAGGGTCAGGTGACCGTCGTCATAGTTTTTCCTCTCAGCTTCGCATGGTCTTAAATTTTAAATTCATGCCCCAGAATGGTCTCCACCTCCTCCAGTTAATGGGTGTGCTTCGGGGTCTAACTGGGTCACTACCGGGCGCTGCACAGAATGTACCAGGCAGCTCCCGGAACTGAGAAGCCACAAGCCCGCGTCGTCTGAAGTGTGGGCCACGGGTTGGGACCAAAGAGGGAGTCAGGGCAGAGGGGAGAACAGGTGGACTTCACTGATTTTGGAGCCAGAGTCCTAACCGTGGCTGAGCCCGGACTTAGCGTTTTGGATGAAGAGAAAAAGAAGGAAATTCTGAAGCGCAGAGGAGCCGGGAGACTTGCTGGTCGCCAGGCCCGTAAGGACGCTCCGTGCCGTGTCTGGTTTCGCCGTGTGGTCGGGCGAGTGTCGCGGGGAAGCCGAGGTTTCAGGGGTGCCTGGCCTCCTGGGTCGGATTTCACGGAATTGTGGACTCTTTTTCTTTTTTAAAAAATTGTTATTGCTGACACTGTCGCAGATGTCTCCCCTTTTCTCCCC